CTGCAGCATTATTTCACAAATTGCAGACCTGAAGCAAAATTTGCTAAATTAAATATTTGAAGTAAAATAAAAATAAAAATGATATAATTTATGCAAATTATTCTGGAATCTAAACTAAAATCTAAATTAATTATAAAAATAAAAATATGAGTCAATGTGTTGATAATAGTCTATAATAATTATGTACAGAGATAATAATAAATGACAAGCATTTCAGAGCACTAATTTGTATCCTCTTTACTGTTACGTAAAAAGCTTTATAAAATAATTATAATTATTGAGCATTATAATACAATGAAAAAGTACAATCGAAACGCTTATAATTAATAGAACACGAAGATGTGTCACATGTTTAAAGTCCATATAAAAGTCTAGATATAAAATCATCATCGTCAATAGTAGGTATTCAGCAGAGTACATATTTCGCAATATATTGTCATATTAAAACTAAAATGTACTAAATAAAGCGATAAAATATCTTAGTTCAGTTAGCAACTGTTTATAAAAAACTTACATTAAAATGAAATTCCTAGAGTTGCCCGATCAGAGCATGTGCGGTAAAACGTTTTTTATAGGATATTACTTACTAATGAGAAAACATCAAAACAAGAGCACATATTATTATAACTACTAAAATAAGCTATAGAACATAAAGTGATTAAGGTTTCGAGAAAAAGTTGATATATAATGGATCCCGTATTATTCGATAACAATTATTTATTCATTTGAATCGCTAACACATAGAAAATGTTAATATACTTATATTGACATTTTCGTTGAATCTAAATTTGTCATATAGGACGATAAGATTTATTGAAGATTGCTAAAATATCTTATTACAAATTATATGTAATTAATATACAATTAGTTCCTTTTGCTAACTAAAAATATAAATTTTTGGAATAAATGTTCTTAGATTATATATATGCAGTATATATATATATTCTCATTAAATTGTTCGATTGTACGTGTCTACAATCAAAAATAAACTGAAATCCGATTGTAGTCAGAAAAAAATCTACTTCAAATCAATGGGAAAATTTGTAGAATAATCCACTGAACGGATTACATTGTTAGTAAGTGCATTAACGCTACGGATCGTCAGTACGAACGCGCACGCGAAAACATCGCGAAAAATCCGCGATCGGCGAGGCGACGTCCGCCGTGACGTCGCGACGCTGTCGGCGACGAAACGTCACGGACAATGCTCGTTTTATTACGAAGTTCGGCGACGGAGAAACGGCCGATTATTATTCGCCTCGCGTTGTCATATTCCATTAGCGTCGCTGCCTGTTACAGACTCCGCTCAGCTTCGCTCGCGCTCGTGCTCGCTCTCGCTCTCGCATTCGCTGTCGCTCGCTCAACCGCCAGGCGGTTAGTTCGAGGAACAATTCACAACGCGATATAGGAATCACCCTTCAACCGCGTGCTGGAGATGACATCGATACTCGACTTCCTCTCTCTTTCTCTCCTTCTCTTCCGTTCTCTCGTAGTGTCTCTCTCTCTCTCTCTCTCGTTCCCAGTGTCACTGCTCTCTCCCATCCCCTCTCTCTTTCTCTCGCGCGTGTTACTGCATCCGCGTACACCCGCGTATCGACTAAACTTCGCGGCGACGCCGACGCCCGCAACGATTAGCTGCGTCGCGGTGGCGAATGTCGGGAGTTTCGTTCCGCCGCGCTGCATTTAACCCCTTGACGCCCGGATTTTCTCTTCCGCTGTGCGTACAAGTGGATTACCAATAAATCAATCCGCATGGGCTTTTCGATCCGCGGGAAATCAAATCGAGAAAAACAATTAGCGAAAACGATTGCCGCGTTTGCCGATCGCCTGCATCGATCGGCAAACGCGACGAGCGATTGCACACAGCTTCATTGCATTATAAACCGAGGAAGCGAGTTCACACTTCATTCACGCGAATAAGCGCTTGAATCTATTGATTTTGTTATACGCTTACTCTCGTTCTTAGACGCAATCACTTGAATAACTACCATTGAATACTGTTGAAAAAAGTAATAATTCGTGCGTTATAATTCAATAAAGTAAATTGTATTTAAATCTTTTTTATATTTAATACGACGATTGGACTTTGCAGTGGAGTTTATTTATAGGTAATTTAGTATAAAAACTACTTGATGATTCAAATATGGAAATTAGAAGGGACTCTGTCTGCTGCACACTAGAATTTCGTGCGGACACTGCATACATAATTGATTGTTTGAATTTTGGATATTGCTGATGGCTTGGATTGAACCGAAACGTCTCATCGTCTTGTTAAATGATGTAAGAAGTTTATTAAATTATAGCGCACAAATTACCGCGCAGGAGTTTTACTCTCACTTGCCTTTATTAAAAATTTACCGTTCAAAAAACTCTCGAATGGATATAAACTTGGAAAGTACTGTGTGAAAATATCGTGAATTACCGTATCTCGATAAAATTGTTAAAAAATAGAGAAATCATTATTGTATCGCACAGACATCTGTGTTTATGGATTTTTATTTGTCTGAATTTCATTTATTAGAGCATTCTACTAGTAATCGGCCATTTATCGTTTTATATTTCGCTTTTTCATTTCAATCCAACTTTATAGTTTTCAAAGACAATAAATGAGGATGCTTTATAAAATAAATCTCAGTGTTTGCGTAAAACCGAAGATCGACTTTGCTTTAGCTTTTCAAGCAATCTTACCCAGCATCTTCAATGGCTCCGTGAAATACTCTCACCTCCTCTTTCTCTAATAAATCAGACCCTCCTTCTCCACCTCCTCAAAGTGCAACAAACATCTACCAAATCATCAATTTTCGGACGGCCTCATGAAATGCTCGCGGACCGACGTGTAAACAATTTGCGCAAGTAGCCGCGATAATGGAGGAGCAGAAGGATAAGGGGGATGAGGCTAAGGTACAGGGCGGTGGCGCTGAGAGAGGGGGTGTTTGGTTAGCTCACACAAAGGACGAAGCGCACCGCTGCGCACACAACGGAATCAGCCCGCTACTCTAACAAGGAACATCCACAAACCACCCCTCTGCGAGGAGCTGGAATGGCGAAGGGATAGTGGTAGGGACTTGCTACAGGACTCAACGGTTTGCGGAACGTCCGGAAGTTAGCGACACGGATACGAGCAAACGTCTTGCAGAAACGGGCATGATGGAAAATGTTTTCAGGATGAAATGATTTGTGACGAGAAAGGAAGGGTGTGTGTTCCTGAATTTATGATTATGTTACAATTTTTATCCAAAATTATATTATTATGCTAAAATTTTATCTACATGGAAATTGCAAATTTCAATTTCAATTTCAATAAAATTCGAAAGAAATGTATTAATTGCGCGCGACTATATTTTAGTTCACTTTAATATTTTAATTTTTAATTCTAGTTAACTTAAGAGATGATAGAAAATTAAGCTTGTACAATCTTTTTCCTTTGTATATATATGCTTCTTTACTTAATATTGATTTATTTGAACAATTCCGTAATTTTCCTGTTATCTGTTCAATTTTCACTTTTTCACTTTTACCATTTCACCACAGAATCAAACTACTTCCTCGAATTGGCGAGAGCCGTTTCTTCTTTTATATTAGTTTTTCTTCGCTCTATCGCTTTTTCCGCTTTCCTGTCTTTCTTCCTTTTTTTTTTAACGTCTTTTCCTTTACCTCCTCCCTCTTGACACTTCCTTCCTTATCGGTTTTGCCGTGCCATCTTCTTGCCTCCGGCAGGTATCACTATCCCCGTTTTTTGGCGCATGTTATTTCTTCCTATCTCTCTCTCTCTCTCTCTCTCTCTCTCTCTCTCTCTCTCTCTCTCTCTTGATATCTCTAAACACCCTCGATTTCAGAAGAGTACAACGTATCATTGTATACGTGAGTTTCCTTAATGTTTATTACGCGTTCGTCTAAGTCGCGTCGATCGTTGCGCGCGGTAGTAACTTATTTTAATTCTCTATTTTTCTTGCACAATTGCGTTTGTCACAGCATGATATGCTTGCAGCGCGCAGCTCTTAATGACAGTTCGTGATTTATGATTTGCGTATCTGTCATGCTGTTGACGCCCGGAAAATTATCACTTACGTACGCGATCGTAAGCTGCTACAGCGCAGAACAGCGCGCGGATCAATATCGTTGCACACCTGTTGCACGACTTTTGAATCACTCTGTACGATGAATACGGCGGCCGTCTCAGTTACCATCGCGACGAAAACAAGAAGAATGTGAAATCCTTGTCGCTTGATCGTCCGCCGCGCGACGTCGCAGCGCATTCATTATCAATCTCGCTACGGGCCGGCTCAAAGGCAGCGAAATTAATAACTGTTTGCGGAAACGCTGAGCGGAAACTTTGCGCTTCGCCATAGCCGTCTTCGTTTTATTAATCCGCGTAAGCCGCAAACGGCCTGCGAAGCGGTGCAGCGCAACAATGAGAATGCACTTTACGCTTAGATTGTGGTACAAGTCGTGCATGTCTGCGATACTCGCAGTCGCATTTCTTATTATAGAACTTGTTCATTTTGCAAACGTAAACATCGATATGTCTGGGTGAACCATGAATTTTTTACACAATGTTGTTAGAAATGGCGCGACAAAGTTTCATTTTTAAAGTAAAATCTATTTACTATTTTTTCCATATGGTCCATATATAAAATCAACATTTACTTCATATTTTATTAATCAAATTTAACATAAACTTAAAACAGACTTGAGTTTCATATGTCTCATTAAATTATTATATTGACAGATTTCAGTATACAATCATTGCAATTTAGCATCTAATAAAGATTATATTTTTATAGTATAATTCGTTAAATATAATAATAAAAGAAAGAGAATTAAGTAATATAGAACTAGACAGAGGACGAGAGAAAGATACTTAGTTCATTAATTACTTAATTTTTATCTTATAATTTTTAAATTCTTTACTTTCTTATACAATTAATTAATCGTGACTTTTTTTCTATTTTACTTTTGTGTTCATGTTTTTATTAATCAAGAAATCGTTGTGTTTTCAGATGTGAATATGGTAGCCGAGCCAAAGCCTCACCAAACTGGACGCAAGCGACAGAACGTATCCAAAACTGGCAATGACTGGTAAGTTACAAGTTTTTACATTTTTGTATAAAGATTTCTTCTATAAAATAACGTCCTTTCATCTATTACATATTCTGTTACATATTGAAAGAATATCTTTACATATCTTTACGTATATTGCCTGAAAATATCATTTCTGTAGGAAATTGAGCTTTTTTAAGCACTGATACGCCATAAATTCATTATATAGGTATATACATGACGTTGTATGTAACGCCTAGCACTATGAAGCTATCTCACGTATTTGTACGAATTTGCAGACAATCTACTCAAAGTAGATCACGGTGTTCTTTGGCACGTAGTTGCACCATCTTATCTTATCTACTCGATTTTTCCCAGCGCAGCGCGTATAAATCTTCCAGTGAGAGGAGTTTCATTCAAAGGACCGCTTTATCCCAGCCTTAAGGTGCCGACGAACCCTAAACTCGATGTATAAACCCGCAAGCGCCGAGAACGTATTTTACGCGCGGTACGTGACCGTGAATTCACGAGCGGTCGCATGTTTGCGGAAGTTAACTTGCGCGAGATACATACACGGAATAAAAAGACCTGTAATTGCATCGTATTGCACACGTAGAGGTTCCTTGTGCTTTGATGGGCAATTTTAAGAGTCACGTGTTGCGATTCTATATGATAATAATAATATAACAGTAAACTAATATTGATCATCGAGTAAAATTGAAAGTTATAATGTTTTTATAAAATTATATCATGTACACAAAAAATATATATCGTACTTTAGGCACGAATTATTAGGAAAAAGATGTGTTTTAATGTATCAAAGAAATTATTTCTGAATACAGTTCTCTCTCTCTCTCTCTCTCTCTCTCTCTCTCTCTCTCTCTCT